GATCCCCATGTGGACAGCGATGTTTGCTTACTTCGTAAACATAAACCCTAACCGTGTGGGCCATCTCACAGAGTCCTGGAGGATCTTGTTCAAGGTTAGTGGATGACCTCAGCGTCCACCTCTGGTCCCACACTGTCTGCATGCAAATCCCCACCACCACCACTCTCTAGTTTTGAGACCTCGAACAAGTTACTCTTCCTCTCACTTGTCTCAGTCTTCTCATCTGCAAAATGGGAATAAAAGGGATTGGGAACTGGAGTTGCGGCTAAGCCACTGCCTCAGTTGCTACATCCTGTATCAGAGACTCTGGGTTCACGTCCTGACTCCACTCTCCACTTCAGCTTCCTGCAAATGCAGACTCTGGGAGGCAGCAGGTGATGGCTCAAGTACTTGGAGCCCTGCCATTCACGTAAGAGACCTGAACTGAGTTCCTGGATGCCGGCTTCAGTTTGGCCCAGCTCTGGCTGTTGCAGGCATTTGGGGAGCGAACCAGTGAAAGGAAGACCTCAATATCTCTTTCTCCACCCCCTCTCTATTTCAAGTAAATAAATAAGTGGGAATAATAGTAACACTTATACATTAGGCTAATGGTGAATTGTCAATAAATGAAATTTAGTAACAAATTTAAATACACAACTCTGCAATCAATATGCACATTCAATTAAGCTGATTCAAAAGTTAAATGAATTAAAAATTAAAAGAAGGTCTGGCACATAGTGAAAGCTTTGTGTGAATTTGCCGTGATGGGGGTCAGCATTGCGGCTAGTGGATTAAGCCACTGCCTATGACATCAGCTTCCCACTTTGGAGCATTGGTTCAAGTCCTGGCTGCTCTGTTTCTGATCCAACTCAGTCATTTGGAGACTTCCACTGGATGGAAGGTTCTCTCTCTTTCTCTCTCTCTCTCTCTCTCTCTCTCTCTCTCTCTCTCTCATAACTCTGCCTCAAAAGTAAATAAAATAAATCTAAAAAAATGCAGGGATGATGATGAAGGTGATAAAGAGGAGGATTCCTCTTTCTTGGATACCACTGAATGCACACTTGAAATGTTTTTTACTACCCAAAATGACCAATGACTAAAAACTCAGTAACCATCAGGCTGTGAAGCAATCAGTAAGCATTAACAACCCAGACTCTACAGCTACAGATGCTCAACGTCAATGTGCTGGTGCCTTCCCCCCACCCTGCCCTACTTTCCTTTACCAATGTGGGAAAAGTCTCCGATGCCAATCAGGAAATTCCTCTGCGCACCCAAGAGGAAACTAAAACCCTTGCACTGCCGTGGCTAAGGACAAATGGCAGGGGCACGTGAGGTGAGCGCTGATCCAGGAAGACCCAAGGAAGGAGCAGCAAGAGAGTAGAGGGCAGCCCAGGTCTTAAAGGACTGTGGACGGCCCCGTGGGCATAACAGAAGGAGCCAGCTGCCTGTCAGGCAGTGTGAATTAAAAACTCCTGTCTCCAAACCACTTTGAATGATTACAGACATGACAATAATCTGCAAAAGGAAGTGTGGACTTCAGGAAAGAAAGTGACATCCCACCCAGCAGGGGAGCCACAGGTCAACAAACAGAGGCAGCCCAGGACAGGGCAAATCCAGACCAGCCTTGGACCCACAGTGCACACAGGGTAAAGATAGTTGTAGCCGTTGTCTGTTCCATCTGCATGTCTTAATTATATAATAATGGTGGTTTAAGCAGCCACTCTGTGCCAAGTGACTATTTATTTGTCGATTGTAGATTATAAGGATTTGAAATAACTTGAATAATAATTGTTTATAGCAATAAAAAGAATCTAATAGAAATAAAATCTATTAATACAACTATTCAATTTCTGAATTATGCCAAGTGAGTTGTGTTTATTTAAATGAATCTCATTGATAAAATCTCTGTGCAGGTTCTGGATTGCAGAGTCCTGTGGCCACTGCCAGGCTACCTTCCACTTCCTGGACATTGGAAAACAAAGCAGTCCATGTGCCAGGTCGAGGGCCGTCATCCCTGAGGGAAACCGATAGAACACCACATTTGGAAGTTGCCAATGCAAACTTGCAAAGGAAGAAAGAAGCATCCCTTGGTCGCAGATGTTTGGGAAATACTGTCTTGAGCAAAGTTGAAGTGTTTGTTCCAGTTTGCTCTGGTATTTTATTGTAGCTTACTGTAGCATTTTTCAGAACTTTTTAAAAGAAAATATTTAAGAGAGAGAGAGAGCCTCTTCCATCTGCAGGTTCATTCTCCCCAAATGGCCCCAACAACTGGGGCTGGGACAGGCCAAAGCCAGCAGCCTGCAACGCCCATCAAGGTCTCCCAAAAGGGTGGCAGAGCCCAAGTACTTCAGTCATCATCTTTTGTCTCCCAGGAGCATCAGCAGGGAGCTGCATCGGCAGCGGCACAGCCAGGTCTCAAACTCTGCTCTGATGTGGGATGCTGGCAGCACAGGCAGCAGCTTATCTCGGCACCACAATGCCAGCCCCTTCTCAGAAGTTTTAATCAGCAAATGAGCATGGCCAGTCTCTAAAAAAGGGACATCAGAGGAGGGCTTCCCACATTGTTGATAAAAGAATTCTTTCCCAGTCTTCCTGCAGCATCTCCCAGAACTAATGGTGTTTGTGGAACCCGATTTGGCAAGTGCTGCTATGGGTTCACTTTATTATTTCACATGCAATCAAGCCCATTCCCATCTCCAGTATTCATCCACATCTCTCAGAAAGAAAAGAATGAGAAAGAGCATCTCATTTTTTTTTTCTGGTGTACTAGTTAAGGTGCACAGCTGGCATCTGAGAGAAATTTAAAATCACAATGGTTTTACATTTATAATAATTCATTGCTCTTCCATCACGTACCAACACAAATGGAATAACCCAAGAAGCTTTGGAAATTACTCCATCTATTTCCCACTCCAGAAGTGCTAATTTGGTTGTTTTGGAGCAGGCACAAGCATTAAGAAGGTGTTTCAAGCTCCCCCAGGAATCTAATGCACAGCCAGGTGGAGAGCACCAAGCCCAAGGATTTTAAGGACTTCCTCACCGGGCATCTTCACACTCAGGCCTCTGGGTTCTCCTCCGAGGGGCCTTTTACATTGGGACAGTGTCTTAGGTCAATAGAACATTGTTCAGAAAGTTTGACAGACCTCATACAGAAAGACCCCTGAACCCAAACAGCGCCTGCCACCGCGTGAGCCTCCTGGCGACTTCTGTGTTGTGAGATGCTCCCTCTCACACCTGTGCTGTTGCGGAGCCCAGATCTTATCCTTCCTAGTTCCAAATCCAACACTTTTTTTTATCATGAATTTCAACCAGACTGAAACACCACCTCCAATTTTTTATTGATTAAATATTTATTGCTCTTAGCAGTACAGGGTAGTGATAAACAGTGCTGACCTTGGAGCTGCCCAGTTTGAATACTGTATCTGTCACTCAGTAGTTTGTGGTCCTGAATAAGTTTTTTTTTTTCAAAGATTTATTTATTTATTTATTTGAAAGAAAGACTTACAGAGAGAGAGAGAGAGATCTTCCATCCACTGGTTCACTCCCCAAATGGCTGCAACAGCCAGAGCTGAGCCAATCCGAAGCTAGAAGACTGGAGCTTCTTCTGGGTCTCTCACATGGGTGCAGAGGCCCAAGCACTTGGGCCATCTTCAGCTGACTTCCCAGGCTATTAGCAGGGAGCTGGATCAGAAGTGGAGCAGCCGGGACTTGAACAAGTGTCAATAAGGGATGCTGATGCCACTAAGCCAAAGTGCTGGCCTCTTGGATAAGCCTCTTAACCTCTCTGCCTCAGTTTCCTCATCTGTAAATGAGGAAAACAGTCCTAGTTCACCAAATGTGAGGGTTAAACAGATGAATGCATGGAGAAATCTAGAATAGTGACTAGTACACAGCTACTGTTCAACAAGTGTTAGCTAACACTGATTATTATCATTTTTCAAGTGCAATTCTCTGTTCTAGACTTCCAAGGGTACAGAGAAGATGAAGGCTGTGCCTCTCCCCTCAAGATATCCACAATTAGGCATGGGAGACAAATAGATGTCTTGTGACAAATATGACTGGGTTTTCACAGTATTCTGTGCAAGCTTCTGGGACCGGCGCTGTGGCGTAGCAAGTAAAGCCACCGCCTGCGGTGCCTGCATTCCATATGGGTGCCAGTTCAACTTTGGATGCTCCACTTCCAGCTCTCTTGGGAAAGCAGTAGAAGATGGCCCAAGTGCTTGGGCCCCTGCACCCATGTGGGAGGCCAGGAAGAAGCTCCTGGCTCCTGGCTTTGGATCGGCTCAGCTCTGGACATTGCAGTCATCTGGAGAGTGAATCAGCCAATGAAAGAAAGCCCTTTCTCTCTCTCTCTCTCTCTCTCTGCCTCTCTCTTGTCTCTGCCTTTCTGTAGCTCTGCCTTTCAAATAAATAAATAAATCTGTAAAAGTAAATAAATAAGTATATGCAAGCTTCTGGGAGAGCCTTCAGGATCGATGGAAGGACAAGCCAGGAAGGCTTCCTGGAAGAGGTGGCATTAGGTTTGGTCTTGAAGGGTAAGATTAGACGTCCAGGCTTTGCCATTTGCTGCTTGAGTGACATGGAAGAGAAGAAACTCCAACTATCCACAATTCAAAGGAGAATTCCTTTACAGTCGAGTTTGCCACTATATAGCATAAAAGCACCACCTTCTTCTAAGGCAGGAGCCCAGGCGTTTTCCTTCAGTGCCTGGAACTATGCCTGCTCCAGGCTCTTCCACCAGCGCTGTCCAACAGCAAGCCTGGGCCTCTGCATTCTGACAGAAAGTCCTGTGCTAGGTCATGGTGACTGTGAGGGCACTGGCAGGGCTGTGGGCAGTGGGCAGGACCCGCGGTGAGGTGCAGGCTGGTGACGAGGCAGTAACTGCCCTTGGGAGTCTCACAAGGCACAAGAACTCCAGGTCGCGTCTCTGCCTCGGCCCTTTCAGGATATCCTGTCATTCAGTAGGACATATAGACAGTTTACAGGGGCCCATGTCACCGAGACCCCAGGATTTGACATTTTTCCTGTCTAGAGAGGCAGGTCTCACATATCCTCTGGCTCAATTCAGGAAGAGGAAAGGAAAGGATTTAAAAGCCAACACGGACATGAGAAGGAATTCACTGGGAGTTCAGCAAACTATGATAAAATAGCCAGATTGTTCTCTGACAGGTGCCTGGCACAGAGGAGGAGAACATAGCCCCTCACCATGCTCCAACACTTCACATTGGTTTTTCTTGGCTTGGTTGTACAAAATTTCTGCTCCCTGGCTGAAACCACAGGGCAGGTAAGATGGGACTTTTGCACTTTTTATTTGTTCATTTTCATGCTGTGTTTGAAAGTTTTTTTTCTTGCATTGTCATGGGAAAGGGAGCTAAGGAGAGACCCTGTGGGGTACAGATCCTAACGGTGGTGATCTTTCTGAAGGCGTGATAACCAAGCAGGCTGGGTTCCTGCCTGACACCTCTAACATTCCTACCCTCACTGTGGGTTTTGGCATCCTGTCTTCTGCCTGTCTTAGTCGTCTCAACACTGGAAACGCCTACCATCCCACCTCTCAGACTGTAGGAAATACCAAAACCTATATTGAGATGGGAGGTGGAATTCCAGGGTGGATAAGATCTCGTGGAAAAGCTATTGGAAGGGTCAGAAATATCGACAGGACGGGCCAGAGAATCATCCCGCCCACCGTCCACAGTGCTGCAGTCAAAGCCCCCAGCACAGTCCTGTCCATGTCTGCAGCCCTTGTTCCGTCCATCACCACAGTGAGCCCTAGAGCAGGCTCATACAAGCTGTCATTGCAAAGTGGAGGCAGGTATCGCAAGGCCTAATCCAGGGTGATTTATGTAAAGCACTGTTCACAGTAGTGATTTCTGACCTATTAAGGACACTATTTTTTACTTTCTTATTTCTATAAATAGAACCAATTTCATGTATTTCCTATATACAGTTTTTAAGAGCATAATGATACTTCCGACCCTTCCCTCCCTCTCTCACACACACCCTTCTTCCTCCTTCTATTCTTATTTTTCTTTTAATTTTTACAATGACATACTTTCAATTTACTTTATAACCACAAGCTCAACCCTCCACTAGATGCAGAATACAGAATTCAGCAGGCAGTAAGTAGAAGAACCACCATTCCTCCAGAGTACAGGCAAGGCTATAAACAAGAATCAAAGCTCACACTGTCAATTTCGCTCATTTCCATTACTTTATTTGGGACTCTGTATATTAGTTATCACAAAATAGTCTGGCCTGCCTCAGGCAAACCTTTATCGATGCTAGCTTACACTCCAGTTGGCTGTACTCTGACAATGCCTTTCATGGGAGCATAGGCGTATGGTATAATGGTTAACATTTCAGCTCCGAAGTGAGGGAAGGGTGCACTGGAACTGTGGCTTTCATTGCCTGCATAACAAATATTTCTGAGGACCTGTCTCAGTGCTCCACAGACCACAAACTGTTCAACTCTGAACAAGTTACCTAACTCCTCTATCTTCAGCTTCTCCCTTGACAAAGCTCCATGGATGGTGATGATTCCCATGCCCATCCCCAGCGTCAGCATTAGATGCTTACATTCGTAAAGAAACAAGACCTTGACAGTTGTTGAAAGCTGAGTCTATTTTTCAGAGGGGACTATGACATACACTGCGTGGAGTAGAATGAATCATTCCACTTGAAAATGGCAATTTATATGGGGGGGAAGCCATTGTAATCCATTAACTGTACTTTGAAAATTTATATTTACTAAATAAAAAAATTTAAAAAAAAAGAAAATGGCAATTTAAAGGTCAAGGAATTTCTTTAAAATGAGATATTGAATTTAGCCTACTAAGAAATAAAAAAGTGAAGTCATTCTATATCCAAATAGAATACTCTAATGTAAACACCTACATTTTAAAAAATGTAAAGGTATCATAACTGTTAAAGGGGGTTCATTCAACCTATATCTAAGTAATTTTTTATTACTCCAAAAGAACATTATAATCCTACGTTGGTTCATGCTGATGACCACGTGAAAGCTGACAGTAAAAACCGAGATTTCGTTTTCCTGTATGCTAATCGGGTGCAAGGAAAGGAAAACTCTAGTAAGAACCAGAAAATCAGCCGGCATCGCGGCTCACTAGGCTAATCCTCTGCCTTGCAGCGCCGCCACACCGGGTTCTAGTCCCGGTCGGGGCGCCGGATTCTGTCCCGGTTGCCCCTCTTCCAGGCCATCTCTTTGCTGTGGCCCTGGAGTGCAGTGGAGGATGGCCCAGGTGCTTGGGCCCTGCACCCCATGGGAGACCAGGAGAAGCACCTGGCTCCTGCCATCGGATCAGCGCGGTGCGCCGGCCTCAGCGTGCCGGCCGTGGCGGCCATTGGAGGGTGAACCAACGGCAAAAGGAAGACCTTTCTCTCTGTCTCTCTCTCTCTCTCTCACTGTCCACTCTGCCTGTCAAAAAAAAAAAAAAAAAAAAAAAAAAAAAAAAAAAAAAAGAACCAGAAGATCAGTAACTTATAGTGTGACCTTGGGCAAGTCACTGCACCGTCTCTCACATCACTGGCCCTCACTCCAGTTTGCTGCCCCCTAAAGTGAGGTTGATGATAACTGCCCTGTGTATCTCTATAGCAGTGAAATAAGATAATGTCCTTGGAAGTGCACATACTAAATAAATAAATTGTTGTATAAATGTACGTTTTCTTCTCATGCAGATTTGACAAATCTCAAAATCTCAAAGAGCTTAGAAGTAGTGAGGACATTTCTACTGCACCTGACCCAGTGCTGGGCCCATAAGAAGAACTGTGGGAGAACAAAGAACCACGGGGCATGGGTCTGTGTGCTTGGGGTATTTAATGGAGAGCACAGGGTAAAGGGGCCTTTGGGCCAGCCAGAGGAAGAATAGAAGTTGCGGAAAGAGCGATGAGTGCGGTTGTGTGGTCGAGGTGATGGGAAGCGGGACCTTGAGGGGTTTGGGTTGGAAAGCTGAGGGGAGGAGGGGACGTTCCTAGAGGGGACGCAGCAGGAAAAGCACAGAGTTGATGGAGAAGAGTTACAGGAACAGGCACCACCGCCGGTGCCACCTCACAGTTTGCACCTTCCACATCGCTGGAAGGGCTCTGTAAGCTGGAGTCGTTGTGGATAGCTCCTGTTTCAGGAATTCCTTCAGGATCTTGCACACTCAACAAGGGCCCAAGTGAGTCTGGGTCGTTCATTTTGGCAGTTAATTCCTATATGTCTGTCTTATTACCCCAATTCTTCACTTACCAATAATTATTCACTGGATGTGACTACTGTTCCAGGGGCTTAGGCTACACCAATGGACAGATTAGGAAAAGATCTCTGCTCCTACTTCCTAGTTGGATTGTCATCTAAATCTTGCAGGTATTTTGGAACAGGAATGCTGCAGCATTTAGCACAATTTTGTCTCCAGAACAGAAATTCCTATGGAATCAATGCTGAAATAATATCCTTGACACCTGTTAATCTATGACCATTTGACCTCGAATAGCCTGTTTTATTAATTTCCCATGTAAAAGGGGGTATTTTGCAATGTATTTCAAGTCCCCCATTTGGATAAGTGTATGCAATGACTTCACCTTACCGTGCAGGATTCTCAAATATGGAAAAGGGATGGTGAATGTGTGGCAGGAGCAGCGCTCCTTCCCTCACCCACAGCCATGGGAGACATCGCTTGTTGCACACAACACCCTTTCCTGGTAAGGTTGCAAGTAGCAAGCCAGTCATATCCATTCAACCTGTTTGCCATTCTACTGAGGTGAAGCCCGTGGGGAAGACTTCCAGGCCAGGTATTTTGCAAGGCTGTCATAATGGAACTTGATATTCTTTTTCTATGTTTGCACAGGCAAAAAGATGTGATAAGAAATCTCTTCTAACAATTAGGACCGAGTGCCAGTCCTGCCGGCTCAATGCTGGAGTCAAGTGCCCAGATGGTTACAGGAAGATTACCAATGACTCTGAAGGGGTTCGAGACTGCAGGTACTTATAAGAAAACACGTGCTCCAGCCTGGGAACTCAAGGAGTTGTGAATCCAAATTGAAACTTCCTATTGCAAAAATTGCAAAGCATGGCCATGATTTTTCTCTTACACTAAAACTGCATTGAGCTCACACTTAGGTGACTCTGAACATTTGCACTTGAGTCTAAAACACATGTTATTATTGATTCACACTGTCATGCAGAGTTTATTAACCACATTGCACATGCATAAACATTCTCTCTTTGTCTTGCACTTATTTGGAAAATCTGGATTCCATCTGGAAAGGGTTCTAGTGGGAACATGCCTAAAGCTTTGGGTCTGATAATCATTGTGGTAACTAGCTATGGACCATGATACTAATTAGAACTCAAATATAAGGGACAAATAAATTATTGTATGGCTGAATTTTTGTCAATGTTTCATTCTTGAAGACTTTTTATGACTCAAAACTCTTATCACTTAAGATTAATCCTAACAAGTAGTGACAAGTTATTTGTTAATATGGCCACACAATATACTAAAACCAGAATTGTCATTTTTAATAGAAGTTTTCCAACACTGACTAATACATTAGCAAGCATACCAATAGTGGTCACTGAACTACCAAAATGGACCTACATGTAGGACTAGTTTCATTTTCTTTATTCATTCGTCCATCAGTGGATATTTAAGTTGCTTGCTTTTCTTGGTCATTGTGAATAATGCTGCAGTTTCAATTCCTTTGGCTATATATCCAGGAGTAGGACTGATGAACCATCCACTAGTTCTATTTTTAATTTTTTTGAAGAAACTACACTGTTTCCATAGTAAATGCACTAATTTACATTCTCACCAATACTTTGTCCACTTCCCCACCAATACTTGTTTGCTTTTGTTTATTTGTTTGTTTTACTGCAGCTATCCTAACAGGTATGAGGTGATAATTCATGGAGTTTTAATTTGCCATTCCCAGATGACTAGCAGTGCTGGATAACATTTTCATATGCCTATTGGCCACTTGTATGTCTCCCACAATTAGTTCTCCCGAGATCAGATGAGATGGAACGCCTTCAGGGTGGCATGGCCATAGACCACAATTAGTTCTTGAAGATACGTTTAGCTCAGTCCTTGGGCTTTCCCTCTGCCCCCTTTTGAAGGATGTCTTTGCTGGTTTTATCAATCTTTCAGAGAAAATATCAACTCTATCCCCAACTTGACTGCCTATCAAGCATGTGGTTCTGCTGTTAATCAGCTTCATTTCAGGGACTGGTTTGGGAGAATAACCTTGAACTCACTGTCACATTGTTCTTAGCAAGAGCCCAGTTGAAGGGAATGAGAGTCATGGCAGTTTGTTCCTGATTCACTAACATCTAAAACTACATTAAGCCATGCCTGCAAAGATCTTTGTGAATAGCAAATACTGTTTGACTCCTATAGAACTGCTACTCCAGAACTGTACCTTAGCCTGTTCTGGAAAATGTTCTAAAGAACTCATCATGGCAGCTTCCAGAAATATATTGTGTTGAATGTTGCTCACTACGTTACACCACTTCTGCCACAGAAATTTCTACACCTACAGTATCTGTAATAAATATGCTAATCCTGAACAATAGGTTTATTTTAAATTCACAGATACTATGCTTTGTGCAACTCATGGTCTTTCTCTTCTTGCATTTACTGCTAGGACACTCAGTGACAAGTTTGAGACACACCGCTAACAAGTGCCAAGATCTAACATCCTGTATTTACTAACTTTGCTTCTGATATTACTTTAGATATTTTCCCCCATTTTCATTGTTCCCTGATTTTTTTCATCTATTTCTAAGAATTAAAAATATTTATAATTTAGTTTTATTCCACTTAGAAAGACAAATGCATTCAATCCATATTTTTAAAATATGAGTAGATATAAAGACTTAAATAAAACTCTAGGGCAATCCTGCCATTCGAAATTAACTGCAGTGTCCTCTCTTTACCCTCTAAGGTACACCTTCAAGGTCAGAACATACTCTCTGTCTCTCCCTGGATGCCGCCATATTTGCCAGAAGGACTACCTCCAGCCTCAGTGCTGTCCAGGCCACTGGGGCCCAGACTGCATGGGTAAGTGGCATAGCACTGGGACTTCAATATTTGCTTCTTGATGTCTCATTCCTCAGAAAACTGAAATGATGGAAGTCCAGTAAAAGGAGAATATAAGCATATTTTTCTAGAAATTTCTATTTCAGTCTTGAAATAACTTATTTCAATATTGATTTTTCCATATAATCTGTAAATAATTGAACCCAAATTACACTTGCATGTACAATGTTATGCATTTTATTTTCTTTAGGAAATGATTAAATGAATGATAGTTTCCATTTACTCAACACTGCTGACATTATATACTAGAGAGATACTTGACCTATATTATCTGATATGATTGTTTAAAAAAATCTTCAGGTTAAACAGTTTTATCTCCATTTTGCCTTTGATGAATTAGAGATTTGAGGATTATTCTTGCCAGGTTCCTTTTGGGATGAATGATGAAAACAATCTCAAGTCCAGGGCTACCAGGCAATAAGCTTACTCTCTTTCTACTCTGTTTCACTGCCTGGAGCAGACTTAATTGAGAGAGAGAGAGAGAGGAGAGCTCAAAAAGAATCAAAATCTTTTTTGATTGGTAGGTCTTTTCAGTGAAGGCCTGAAGTATACTCTGTGTTCTGAAAAGATCAAGGCTTGGGATTTAGAAAAACCACCCCTCCTTCTATTAACTGTTCTGTGTTCAGTTTCACCCCAGCATCTTGGCACTAAGTATTATGAGTGTAGCATATCAGAATCAAGTGCACGGATTCAGTGTCATTTAACGTGATTAACTCAGATTTTAAGGACTTTTAATGCCAAATGTGGTCATGAAAACATCCAGTTCATATCAGTATTCTTCTGATATGATCAAAAGAACTTTTAGATTTGCTTTCCTCTTTCTTATCCATAATAGCTGGTCAGATGCCAAGACCCTTGGTACAGAGGGGAAGGCTTTCTCCAAGATGCAGTAAAAAAGTCAGAATGTTTCATAGAATGAATGGCAGACCACTGCCAGGAGTGCAAAAGAACGACGCCTGCAACCAAGAGTTTTAGAGTTGCACTTGGTTCTATCATTTGCTGGTTTGGGCAAGAAACTTCCTGTTTAAGCCTCAGTCTCCATATCTGTTCAATGAGGGTACAAAGTACTGCTTTACACAACCGATGTAGAGATTTTCAAACATTAATCTGAAAGGACGTGGCAGAGTGTGTGATACAAAGAGGGAATGAACGAATCACAGTCAAACAGACCTCTGATAAAGAAAAACAATGACATTATTTGAGCCCTTTTTGTTAATGATGGATAACCCATAAAACATGACTTCTGTGGGTTCCATGCCATTGCATTGTGCTGTGTGCAGGCGAGTGTGGCAAATTCTCAGCTACAATCAGAAGAGTCTGAAAGGGGTCTTGGAATGTTCTAGCTTCTTCTTCACCTAGGACTGGAGGCCAGGGAAGCCAAACAGGCAACAACTGAGGGCTGGACCTTATTTCTGCTATCCTCCGGTTGGGGAAAAGCATGCTTCCCTTTATCTGCACCTTCCAAACACACGACATGTCGTGAAGGGCTTCCTTCCTTTGACTCGGGGAAAGATAAATGCTCTAGCTGGCCGTGTATTTCACCTCTCACAGTTGAGGGTGATGACAAGCAAGACCTTGACTATCGCTTTACATTTCCGCAAGGATAAGGCCATCTGAGAGCTGCTGACACATGCCCGCCCTCCTCCTCGGTGAGGAAGCACATTCCCAAGCCCCGGGGTGGCCTTGTTTCCTAGACGAGCATCACCTCCACTTCCTTCCTGATGCATGGGCAAATACATTCATCCTCAACACCCCCAGGTCACGTGCAGAACTATTTTAATAGTATCTTACTCAAATTAGGAACCAGCTCCAGGGTCATCACTGACAATTTGGAAAACACATAAAGTATAGTGGGAAAAAATTACTTGGCATCTTAAATTAAGAACAAGGCATGAATTCTCACTTAAGGGGGAAAAACATCATCATGACATAAGGAAGGTATCTCTAGCCAGATTTAACCTGCCTCTCCCTAATTAAAATTTTGTACTGCTTTGTCAAATGTGCATATGGAAGTTTTTTCTCATCAGCACAGAAACATATTTTTAACTTTGGAACTTAACCATATCTGAACAACCAACATTTTGTTTAAGATGAAGTCTTTTTTTTTTTTTTAATTTGAGCATCCCAGTTCTTTGTGGATTCGTGTAACAATCCAAAGTAATGGCAAACCAATGGGTGCAAAGTGATTACCTTTAAATTCTCCTATGGTCAACATAACCTGATTAGTTCAAAGAGAAATGATCTTGACTTTTTCTTAGATCAATGTCATCATATCACCTACTTTTTTTGTATCATGTTATTTTCCTTTGTAGACTTACTTTTCTTTCCTATTGCATATTCTTTGCCATCTACTGCACAGATTGCCAATAACAGACTATGTGGGTTTGAAACCTTTTTTTAGGCATTTTTTTCTTTTTTGCCTTGAATGACAAATAATGCTGAGTTCACATGAAAACATATTTCACTTCAGTTTCCCAGACAGACCATTCCAACCAGAGCTATAAACGGAACATCAGGAGTTGTTTCCCCCCTAGCACTGTGCACCGAGCTTTTAAACAAAGGTGGTGACATGGAACGGGCACCTCCAGAGCTCTTACAAGATAATGTCACGGGAGGTCCTTGGCCTCTTGCAGGCAGGAAGCAGATTATCTTCCATGCAAGAAGCAGAGCAGCTGATGATTTGCTGACAGTGTAGAACTGTCCCACCTCCTGCGTGGAAAGTCAGATGCAAGAGACCCCCTTAGCAGCAGTGCGCAAAGGGAAATGCGATAATGACCTACCATGGCCTTATCAGTACTTGGGCCTCACAGCACATCAGAAATGTGCCGTTGTAGCAAATTCTATAAACTCCCCTTCAAGCCTGGTTGCTGCCAATGTCTACTTGACCATCAATTTTCTTAATCAGGGCCTGAGGTCAAAGAAAAGAGGAAGTAGAGGGGGGAAATGCTCACTTTGGCTTTAAAATTTTTAAAATTCAACAAGTCATTTCCACCAATCGCTAAAAAACATTCTGTGAGGGTCCTTCTAAAACTTCACAGAAGTATATATGATGAAAAACTATACATACGATAACAATTTTTTTATTACCAAAGAAATTTACCCTTTAACTCCTTTTCCACAAAGCTTTTAAAGTATCTTCATATCTCAGTCATAAATTGAGGACTCCTCACACCCCCACACTCCTGCTATCTTTTCCCCAAAGTTCCTTCCAGGATTGGCCAATTCACAAAGAAATCAACCATTTGTTGAGTACATAAAAGAAACATACCTGGAAGGCCAGGTGGGATACTGAGGTTTTAAGGAGTTTTGCAGTTTGCCCAAGAAGCAGCAGAGGGTAAGTGCAGAGCCTGGGTAGAAACAAGGGGTGTCTCCCTGGGGAGCCCCAACTCTAACCCACTGCTACCCCCTGCTTCCCAAAGACCCAGTTGCATTGCAAGGCAAGCCACTGGGAAGGCAGCCTGCTCCCAACTAGCTCTGCCCCGGAAAACTTGCTGTCTCCATTAGCTGGTGCCTACCCTTCCTGGAGTCGCTCTCTTGACACTGAGCTTCTAGTTCCTGCTGCCACTGAGGAGATCACGGACCTGGAAATCAGTTTGCCTGGCTTCCATTCCCAGCTTTGCTCCATGCTGGGTCTGGGACCTACCCTCCCTGTGGGGTTGCCAGGTTTAGCAAAAAAGCAACATAGGGCAGCCAATTGAATTGGAATTTTGATTAACAAATATTCATACAAATTTGGGATGTATTTATGCTACAAAAAAATTATTGTTTACCTGAAATTCCAAATTTAACTTATCATCCGATATTTTAGCTGGTAAACTCATCCTGTGGCACCAGTTTCCTCATCTAGGAAATGAAAATACTATGCCTACTTCCCAAAGACTGCAGAGGATGGAGTGTGTTCATACTTACAAAGGACTTGGCACGTGCCTAGCGTATTCGGAACGTGCTAACGATCATTTCTGTCATTTCATGGTTCTCAGATCCCCAGCTGGCCTCCTTCTCTCCAGGATTATTCATTGATTTGATTTGCTGGTCTAAGGTACTGAGCTACTGTGCTCGGGCTTAGTGGCTAAGGACTCCAATTACTGAGAGAGATGTGATCGCAGTGCTGGTTTCTACTCTTACCAACCAACCATGTGATCTTGGGCAAGGTACCGCCCCCCCCCCCCAGCTTCAGTTTTCTTCTCTTTAATCTGGGTGAAGATGATGATTTCAATGGTGATGACGATGATGGTGATGTTGCCTTCCTCACACAGTTGCTGTGAGAAAGAGACCGTGCATATGACGTACTTAGCAAATTCTATCACTGAGCTGATGAGGCTCCTCTTCCTGGCTTGCCAGTGGCCACCTTCTCTCCTTGTCCTCCCATAGAAGGCCATGAGAGAAGAAAAGAGAAAGAAAGAGGGATGAGAGAGACAGAGGGTGAAAGAGGGAATAGAAGGAGAGGGAGCGAGAGAGACAATGCCTCCAGTCTCTCTTCTCATAAGGACATTAATCCTACCCTATGACATCCTCTAACCCTAATTACCTTCAAAAAAAGGCCTTACCTCCAAACACCATCACATTTGGGGTTAGGGCTTCAACACATGACATGATGTAGGGGGAAGGGGTAGGCACAAACATCCAGGCCCTAACAACAAGTTCTCACTTGGTCTTTAGCCCACTGAGTCCCAAGCCTTGGGGAGATAGGCATGGCATAGGATGAAGCACCTCCTATACAGAAAACCTCACTTCCCCTGCAGAATATTTGATGGTGAGGCTCAGGAAAATCCCCAGGAGGGAGTGATTTCCAATCAGCAAATGCCTTGGCCCTGAGCCCAAAAATTCCACCCTTTTTAGTGCATAATTATGCAAACTTTGACAAACCAAAACAGTTGTGTGGCAACTACCGCAATTAAGATGGACAACCGTTATACCATCCCCCCCCACAACAAATTCCTTTTGTTGTCAACCTCTCCCAA